TGAATTTGTCTTTAAAATAATGAAAGCATAAGCAGAACTGGCCTCTATAACAAGAAAACAACCCAAAAAAATACCAGTGAATTCACAAAATACTGAGAATTGAAGAGTGGGAGATCATAGAGAAGTTTTAATCTTGTGATCTTGGTAAAATATTCCTTAACAATTATGTAAAAGAAAGATGGAACTGGTAAGTTGGGCCTGGTAGAGTTTAAGATCCTGTGGACAAAGATTGAGAAATTTCTGGTTTGTTATTTATTTTTACCTTCACAACATATCTACAATAGTAGTAAGCTGCTGATATCAGACGATAACTTCTTGCTTTTCCACTCAGGATCTGTTCAGATCAAGAGATGTAGATCAGAGTGGGTGCATGAGCTCCTCTGAGATGCGGGTGGCCGTCGAGGAGGCGGGTGAGAAACATGTTTATCAAGTTATATTTCTACTTGTGAAATTTAAGTAAGAGAAAATCAGTTGTGTGATTGGTCTGTCTCTACAGGTTTCTCTCTGAACAACGCTCTCCATCAGATCATTGTGGCTCGCTACAGTGAAGCGAACCTCACCATTGACTTTGACAACTTTGTGGGCTGCCTGATTCGCCTGGAGACACTTTTCAGTGAGTTTTGTTCCCCTTATGGAGGTTTTGTTTCACTTCCTGACTGGAAGCTAACATAAAAGTTATGATCGTTACTTCACATCTCTACAGACACTTTTGATGGCCTGGACAAAGATGGTTCTGGAACCATCGAGCTGAATTTCATGGAGGTAAGAGCCAGGATGTGCGTTCAATAAAAAGAAATGGCTGGCTCGATGGAAAAGCTGGAAGACTAACTTGCTACTGCTTTCATCCACAGTGGCTGAATGTGACGATGTAACAGAGCTGCAAGCAAAAGAAGAACCAAGATGCTTTGTAGATTTGCATTAACAAAATTGCCTAGAGTCATCAACACCGAATTTTTGTTTGTTTTTCGTTAACTGCAGGGAGAGGTTTGCTTATGAGTTAGTCACTTGGGATTAGTTTTGAGGGAACAATTATTGTTAATGCTTACCAACACATTAAAAAAAGGACAATCAGCAAATATCATGTACTTCTTTGGAAGCAGAGGGATCTGCCTGGGCTGAAAAATACGGCACTTTCACTTTTTTCTCTTCTTTTCTGAGTTTTCATGACATAACATAAATATGGTTTGACATGTCATAAAACATAATGTAGTTACTGGCTTTCATGTCAACAGTTGGATGAGAAAAATCTATATTTTCCTCTGGTGAGTGTGGTAAATATGAAGACTGTGTGTATAGTGCATCAGCTCAGCTCTCTTACGGACCAAGGTTTCCTGTGTTTATATTATTCAAAATCTGAACTATAATTGGCTGGTGTTTTTCTGTGCAATACATTTTAGAAATAACCCAAATAAAATAATTTGTCAGCTTTAAACATTGAGTTTTTGTAGCCTAAGTAAAGAAAATATTATTATGCTGGTTTTAGTGCACAAAAAAGATGCCATGCCGATAGAGAGTTCAAATACTTTGAATTTGGGCTCTGAGAAGACCTAATAAATCTAAATCCAATTTATTTATATAGCACATTTAAAAACAACTAGTTCATCCAGAGTGCTGTACAGAAAACTCTCAATATCTCAAATTGAAATAGAAAAGAGTTGCACTTCTTAAACAGAATTAAAAACAGGAAGCAAATGTGCCTTCTTAACATTCAAAGGCAATGTATTCGAAAGTTTGGGAGCCAGAACAGAAAAAGAGATGCTATGTTTTTAAAAAATAGACCTGAAAGGGAGTGCCATAACTGATTTGCAAAGGATACCCCATAAAATAATGGAGTTAATGGAAACCCCAAAGCCTCCTCTGCTAATGAAGCAACAGAATCACTGGAGTCAGATGATTCTTCAGAACCGTTTCACCACAGACTGCTACAGGAGATCCCTGCTGCTCACACCATTAACCACATTTAAATTACTCATTGAAGAAACTTGTGTAATGAGAATTATTGCAATATCTTTTTTCTCCACTAGGATGACATCGGTGTCATTGAATTTAATTAAATGTACATGTCATTACAGCGGCCTCACTAAGTCTTAAATATGTGGCAGTCCTATTTCATTTTGAGGTTTGGAGTGGGTGAGAAACATCCTTGTACCAGTGAATGAGACTATTTTCTTTGAAAATAGAACACAAAAATTAAGGAGTTGAATTTCTCCTGCACGTTGGTTTTCAATGCCAGTGCTAGTCATTCGCATTGCAATGCTACTTAGAAAATCGTCAACCAAAAATAAAACAGATTTTAGAATAATTTCTCTTAAATTGCAACAAGTGTGAGAGATTTGAACTGGGTTGCTCCTCTTTCAGTACTATGATACGCCAGCAGATGTCCCAGTTCTCACAGATTTGTGAAGTCGTTGCTCTTATGTCACTGCCTCTGCTGGGGCCAAGCTCCCAGAATGCTTGCAGCAGCATGAAGGCTTCAGCTCACAGAGAGCTATGCAGCAGTCATTTCCTGCCCTGCTCCGCTCTGGCTTGCATTTCCCCTTTTGGTGCTTCTATTGTTGCTGCCGTCTGCAATTTAAGTCCAGTCTGACCACATTTTCACAAAATCTTTTCTCTTATCATTCTTTTCCTAAACAAATGATCAAGTGGTTGACATATATAAATTGTGTCTTAATGCTTTAAGGATAATATTGTTAGTAGGTAAGCTAGGACGTAGTGCTTGCAGTAAAATTGTTGCTTTTTGTCCGGATGTGAGGCGGGACTGCTACTCTGAAAACCATAAATCCACCCTTAGGGGAAGTAACGCCGCTGTGATGATGAGGCAGAGGATCTGTATTTAGTTTCTGCTCAGAAAGAGGCGGGAGCTCCACCAAAGCTGTTGGACTGGATAAAAAGAAATGAACTCAGTCTACCCTGAGCAAAGATAAGGAGCATTTTTCTTCCAGTGCTCCTTCTAATTAAGGGTGTTGTTGGTCAAGGAAATGACAACTATAGCCTGCTATTTATAACCTGTATCTCTTTATAGTCATTTTCAGAAAAACACTGGAATAAAACAATGATCAAGGATGGTTATAACTGGTGTCTTTGATTCATTATGACATTTTTAATGTTATGATGTTCAATCATCTCCCATCAAAGGACTGAGTCACCTCTTCACGCATCCAAGACCTCGAGAGTCCATCTCATGACCTGATTATGTGATTTAGGTGTGTTGACAAAGACAAATCTAAAAGTTGCAGGACAATATTTTGTGGTACTATTATGAAAACAATAAAAGTAACAATAAGGTATCTGTATAACTGTGATTTTATGGTACAGAAATCATAGTGCTGCAAAGAGCTTCTTTGTTTTTTCTAAATGGGGAAAAATATTCCCATTAGTAGTATCGTTCTTTAGAACACTGGTCACATAAAGAAGTGTAATTTGTATCTAAACTGCACACAGTAACTGCATCTTATCATATGTTAAAAAGTATTGATTCGCTCATTAGACAAACAGTGGAAAAAACTATAAAACTAAAATTTCTGACAATACGGATAGCTTTGGAGGATTTAGAACATCATTAATTAAAATTTATTGTGACAACGATAAATTAAAATTTTTATTAGGATAAGAAATTCATGATAAATGATAACACAATAAATGCCCATCTGTTTATTGTATTTTTACCCAAACTGGCCTCATCCAATGACATTATTAAAATTTTCACCTATTTCAGTAAATCATTTTCCAAAGTGAAACAAGTCACAGATTAACTACAAACAAAAGTTACTACAGCGAATAGGTTATTTTTAATCTGATTTAAAAAAAAGCCTCGTCAAAACTCATATTCTACGTTATTGAGTATGATGGTATTGTAGAAGAAAAATAAAAACAAGTTTGAGGTGAGGTATTTCATAGAACATTATAGTAGTATTCATAACCGAGAGCTGCAGATGGTAAAACCTACATGATATCAGAATGGGACTCCATATGAGTTAGTGTGGGCTGCATAGTGCACAGGGAGAACTTGCATGTTCTCCCTGTGCATGTGTGGGTTCTCTCCGGGTATTGTTAGGTGAATTAGCCTCTCCCTAGGTGTAAGCGTGCGTGTCCATGGTTGTTGTCTGTGTTGCTGCAACAGATTGGCAACCTGCCTCTCACCCGGAACCTGGACACAGGCTATCAGCATCCCTCTGAACCCCATTATGGACAAGGGTGTTAGAAAATGGATGGATGGATGGATGGATGGATGGATGGATGGATGGATGGATGGATGGATGGATGGATGGATGGATGGATGGATGGATGGATGGATGGATGGATGGATGGATGGATGGATGGATGGATGGATGGATGGATGGATGGATGGATGGATGGATGGATTAGTAAGTGCCTCATTGCAGGTCACTCATATTGGTACCACTTTGTATCTCTGTGTTGTAAAAGCTTATACAATTATCTTATTTGGATTAAATAGCTGTACTGCATTACATCAGCTACTTTCAGTAGGATAAAATGTATATAAAGTTGTTTCTTTCAGCTGTCACAGTGGGAGGGATCTTTGTTATTTGCAGAGATTTATGGTCTGTTGGAGCTGAACCGTTCATGTTCTTGTTTATCCTACTTATCACTGGCCTGTGCTGTCCCAGTTTCAACAGGTAGCTTATTAAATTCCTTAACCATTTAAGGAATATATATGGTTACCTTAAAAGGAGATCTAGCTGCTCTCAGCAGTAGATGGGTTAAACTAAGCGTGAACAGGTTTGCTTTCCGTATTAGGCTATGAGTTGCTCAACACCTGGAGTTTATGGATTTGTACCAACAAATCAAATTAATCAAATTATAATGGGGACTTAAACGTTTGGATTTTGTAATGCAATCCAAGCAATGGTAAAAAAACTGTGATTCAGGGTTTGCACGAGATATAATTAAAAGCCGAGGTTGCAGCTTTAACTGTATCACACCTGCACGGAAATGGGCGGGTCGGTTGTTGGAGGTGTGCTCACTTAGTGCAGCTCCTCCTCTATGAGTCAACCTGCTGCTCTTCCTTCTTATAACCCGCTCAGCAGTCTGACGGCAGCTGCCATTTTTTCTCTGCTGCCTCTTTCCTTCACACATCACAAGCACAATGGTGAGTGAGTGAGTGAGCGATCGATCACCCTTCCTGTGAGATTGTAGTGGATTTCAGATTTAATGTGATCTTGATTAAGAGCTCAGTTTTATTTGTTTGTGTCAAAGGAATTGCAAGCATTATGTCTTCTTTGTTTTAGTCACTTCCTTATTTTAGAATATGTGGAACATGTGAGTTTGTAGAAATGCAGTTTTTAAATAATTTAAAGTTAAAGTTGGTTTAGTCTGGAACTTCTCAGGTGTGAACTATTTAAGGGGGTGAAAATGGACCTGCTGGTGAAAAGGGTTTGTACAAGGTGTGGTTTGCCTCCAAAATGGAGGGAGCTCTGAACCTGTTTGAAACTTGTTGAGGGTCGCTCAGGGCAGGATTTCTTGTGCTAACTTGTTCCACAATGACTGGAATGCAATTGAACCAAAAATGGGCTGGGAAGCAACGCTTTAATTCAAGGAAGAAAGAAGTTAATGGAGCGTTTGTGAACTTCATTGCCCCAACTGGACTGACATTTTTTGCACTCAGTTTTGAAGTTGTGAAGAGCTTCCTGTTTCTTCATCTCTGTTCTGCTTTTCTTCTCAGCACCAGGGTACAAGTAAAGAGTATTTACTGAAGCTCCAATCCAGGCCCAAATTTGACAGAAGGGTCTGGATTGTGGCAATTTCTAATGTATCAGTAAATTTTTATAGCACAAAACTGATCATTAATCTCAGCACACTCCTCCGAAAAGCATTTTTCCCCCTTTTTGTCGGGAATACCCGTTTCAACCCTGACATGTGAATTCTTTTATTTCTCAGGCATCTGGAGTCCAAGTCGATGACCAAGTGAAGGACATCATCAGTGACATGAAAGTGGTGAAGAGCGACGCGGATGCAAACGAGCGCATCAGAATTGTGGTCTTGGAAATCAAAGAGGGTTTTATCAAAGTGGAGAACATCTTCAGAGAAAAGGATTTGAGTGGGGAGGACGACATCTTCAAGTTCTTCTTGAATCAGCTGGACAAGGAGAAGTGTCGCTACCTGCTGTACGACTGCCACTTTGAGACCAAGGAGTCGAGCAGGAAAGAGGAGCTGGTCTTTGTGATGTGGTACTTAGAGATATTTCTTTCAGAAAAAAATTAATCATTTTTAAGTCGTCGAAAATGTGGGGCTACTGTGTTTATAAAAATTGAACAGGATTGGCAAGCTGGCTGACTATTTCTTTGTTCCAGGGCTCCTGAAACTGCACCCATAAAGTCCAAAATGCAATACGCTAGCTCAAAAGACTCGCTTAAGAAGGTCTTGACAGGTAAGTTTTTTTTCATTCTTAAGAATTTAGGTAGTGTTGTAAAAGTTCCATGTTTTGACAGTGAGTGACTTAATCTTTCACATTTATTGGAGGGAATTTATTTAAAATTTATGTGTATATATCTTCTCAGGCATCAAACACGAGCTGCAAATGAACGACCTCTCAGATTACGGCACCAGGGACCAATTTGCAGCAAAGATCAGCAAAAACGTTATCAAAGTTGAAGGCCATGATGTCAAATAAAATCAAATCCTGCTTTTGAAAAGCCAAATCTGATCACAACAGTTTCTAATCTTTTGATTCAGTTTGTTTAATCTGGTCTCTTAAATAAAATAAAATGGGGGCAGGATGAAGGTATCATATCCTTCTTGTTCGTCTAAAGTTCTGTACATATGGTTAAATTGATCTGGGTACATATGTTGTAAAATACCTTTAGGTTCACAAACTCAGTATGACCAGGCTTACAGTATCTGCATTTTTATAGACTATTACACCATGGCCACTAGGAAATACTGTACATCTTTGTATCTAAAAGTTACAAGAAAATAAGTCAATTATCAAATAAAATAAGTGAAACAACTTTGTGTATCTGCTTTTTTTTATTTTTGAAGTTTAAGTAATTTGTCTGGTGGTTAAATTTGCACATTGAGGTTCAGCGTCTTACGTTTTATACCTCCAGAAAGCTGGATGACCTGCAGAAAAAGTAAAGCACGTTAATTGACTTTAGCAAACTGCTAACCCAAGAACAAGTAATTCTGAGATTTTACCTAATTTTAATGCAATATAGTGAGAGAATAAGGCAACTAAAAGCTTTGTGCTCAGCAGCTAACTTCCCAAAAGTCATTGCATCTTTAAGGAAATGAGATTTCCTGCTTCAGACCATGAAGGGCTGAGCAAACTGAAAATGCTCAGTGACTGATGAGTAGCAGTGTCTCAGTGACGTCACTTCTCAGATTCGAACCAAATAAGGAATAGTTTGGCAGGAACTCATCTTCGAGTCAAAATGGACCTGCTTTTTTTGCTTTTAACTCTGCCTCTGTGTGAAACTATGCACCACAACGGCTTTCTGTTGCAAGTTTAAACAATGCTGGGTTTTAGTTTCACTTCTACAAAGAGTCTTTTACAAGCAGATATGGATCAAGCCTGAAACCAAAGCACACAATGTTCATTGTGCAAAATGTTTCCTGGTGTAACTCGAGCAAAAAGAGGCTGAAACTATTTTAACGTTGTGCTATATTTATGACCAAATTTGACATGTAGCAAGAACGTTGCAGTGTTGTAATACTTCCTGACAACAGACCTGTGACAGTTGATTTTTTTTTTTTCCTTTTTTTGAACCCAGGCAGGATGTGTGACTGTTAATGGGAGTGTTTGTTGCATGAATGCCACACAGGGCAAATTCTTCAAGGCCCCATCAGAAACCACACACAATTCCAGTAAAGTTCTTTAGGCATTAAAGCAACTTTTTTTTTTTTTTTTTACATCTCTAAATGTATTTTAAAATTTCACTTTTATTCAAACATGGCACAAAAAGTAAGAACTTGTATTTAGTTGATTACCTGATATTTATCAATATTATATTTTTTCACTACCCATTCAAAACCTAGAAAAAAAACAACCATCCTGTTTTTTTCTTCTTCAGCTAAACTCCCCACAATCCTGTGCTGCATCACTATTACTGTCACATGACCAAACAAAATGTCTAACTTATTTAGACATTCCCATATTACCATAAGAAACAAACACTAATAGGTTGGAAATAAAGTTCAGTTAATATCAGCCCAAGTTTATTTCTCAGACCGATACAAACATGGATAATATTAGCCATTGTTGATGTTAGTCCTGATATATTGCAAAATCTTTCAGGAATTGTGACCACATACAATAATGCCATATCACAAATCATACTACCGTCATCAAAGCTGCTTAAATTAGCAAGGTTTTTCGGGATGCAGTGCAGAATCAATTTTGCTGGTTTTTCACCCTCAAAAAATGCACATTTCATCTAAATGTAGCACCATCTAAGGGGAAATAAGCTTTTTTTTTTTAAAAAAGCAGTTGTCAGACACTAAAGCGGGTTGTGAGAGAGGGGGAAGACATGCAGCAAAGGTCACCTAGCCAGAACTTGAACCTGCATTGAGGACTAAGGCCTGCATACACAAGCCTTAGTCCTGTATATGCAATTAATTTTATTTGCATACAAATCATTTTATTTGCATACAAATCATTTTATTTCAGCGGTATGAAATTTATAATCCCTTTAGCTTGGATGTCCTCCTTGGTTGAAGCAATAGCTATAAATGATTTTATTCCTATTGCCTTTTTCCTCCTTAATATAGACAGGGGAAGATGTTATTAGTTTCATAGTCCTAAGGCTGATGGAAATGGTTTGTGTTTTTAACCACTGAGAAAAACAGTGAGTTGTCTCATGAGGATTTTTTTAAAGTATTATGTATTTAGTAGTTTATTGTTCATGTTCAAGCATACCACCACCCATATGTTATTGACATGTTTTGTGTTTTTAACCCCATTGGGTGAAGCAGGGGAATTTAGTCCTATGCCCTCTAGCTAAATAGTAATGTGATGTTTTTATTGTGACTTGTACAATTAAATAGCCATTGGGGCAGGAATAAAGTAAGATGGAAGCTATCTATCCATAACCAAGAAGTACTGAAACAATAAAAATTGAGTCTAAATTTGTTAAAATAGCTTGTCAGAAAAGTTTGCTATATAAATTTCAAGCTATAAAATGATGGGGAAGAATGAGTATATGAAAGTTGTCCAGTATACCATCACCAACATCCTCCATGGCAGAGTGAACAACAAACGCAGAGTAAACCTGAACATTCAGTTCTGAACCATAGGATGGACGTTTATTGGAAGAAAAATGTGTGGTAGAAAGTGTTTCACACCGAGACAGGGAGAGCCGCAGCCATGATTGTGAAATAAAGTTCTTCCAAGAGTTTTGACTGTGGCTGGATTCAGTGCTTCAAGCTGTAGAACAGCTGGTATCCAGCTGGTTCACTGATTTGGGTGGAACTGGGCAGCAAAATTTTATTGACCTGAACTCCATAGAGCGTCTGGAGGACAGCAGAGAGGAAGATGAGAATCAATGTCCAACAAAACCTGAAGGCCTGTTTTAAAGCAGTGTGGGCCAACATCTCTGGAAAACCAGTCTGGTTGCCTCCATGCCACACCACACTTATACAGTATTTTATGCAAAAGGATCCTCAACCAAGTACATATTCTGAATATAAAAATACTCTTTAATATAAAATGTTTTTCTATTAAGAATGCTTAGTTGTTAAATGGAATATCTGGATTATCTAAGAAAAGTTTGTTTTCATTCTCTGTTAAAAAAAAAATTAGCATGAACAATATAGTTTTGAGCACAGTGGTTTCAAAGTTTGGAATTAATGACTGAAATTTTGTCTTCTTGATATTCACATGTATAAAAAATATTGACAAAAGTAGGAATTTTATTCTCTTTAGTTATTTTTACAATTTGCAAGCCATTTTATAGAATCTGTAAAAATGTTTTAATCATCTCAAGTTAAGGCTATGTCCATAATCAACTTTTTTGCTGCATTATTTAGGTTTCCAGCTTTGTATTTCTGACATTTTTGTGTAATTCTTTTAGTTCGGCATTACTTTTGTCTAAAACTGCCTAAAACCGTCTCACCGATCTCAAGCTGCTGAAGTTTTCTATTGGTTACAGACGTACTTCTTGATACAACTTTGTTACTTCCGGTATGAAAACTCAGCGCTCCCGCTCTTGCTCTCTTTCTCTCTCTCTCCACTCTTTCATGCCTCTTCACAGACATGCAATCGGTAGTGCTCAACTGTAGTTTATTCATTCATACAAATCTGATGTGTTGGTCAGCCAGCTGCAGAGGAAAGCAGGCTCTACAATGAACCATAAAGTGTTCCCATCATTCAACCACATAGAAAAGACATACAAAGTAATTGCACAGATTGAAGCACGTCTGACGTGCATTCACGTTCCCTTTTTAACACTGAACTATGGGGGAAATGTTTGGACTATAAGGCAAAGGGATAAATAACTTCTGACATAGTCAGAATCGTAGATGGTATGTGGGCTTCAGTAAAGACTGCAGCAGGATACTCTCCTCTAATCTTACTTTGAAATATTCATTACACAAAAATATTTGATCCCTAAAAGTTGCAACGAAATGCATACAACTACAGTACTAGAAAGAATAAATTTGGAATGCATAACTAGGTAATTATAAGGCATATTTGGCGGTTTTATTGTAGCGTTCCTGGTGAGCTTCAACTCAGACGGATGTTCCTTCTTTCAGTTCCACAAATTCTCCCTTAAAAAAAAAGAAAAAGAAAAAAAGAAATATGAAAAAGTGACAAAATATGGAAAAATTTAAAGCCAATCTGTGTATTATAGCAGTATGAGATGCACCTTCACCTCCAGGTGTTCCTGTAGTGTTCTCACAGTCTCTCTCTCTTTGGTCAGCTGCTCCTGAGTGGCTTTAAGAAGCTGCTGGAGCTTAGTGGCTGCTTGGCCAAGGTCTTTGGACAGCTTCTTCTCTTTCTCAAGGCGCTCCTGTTCAAATAACAATAAATTATAGCAAACATAACTATGAATGGTCTAAACTCTAAAATTTTTCAAAGATTTGAGGAGAACAAACTAAACTGTTCAAGCTTAGACAGATAAGGTTGTCAAATGTAATTAAGATTATTAGATTATTAAGATTATAAGATTATTATTGTTAAATTGTCACCAACTGTAGAGAGGGTCTTGTTTCACATGATGCTTAGATGCTGGTGTTTAACTCCAACAACCACATAATTTGTACTGATCTGACGGTCAAGTACATAGCGTTTTTTATTACACCAGTTAAAGTGTTTTTTCACAACAAGCTATAAGGAACTTCATAGGAGACAACATTAACTGGTTGTTTTTGAACACCTATAATCTGAAAAATGTGGGGTAGATTTGCTTTTACATTTCTACCTTAATCTGTAAAGCAGCCAAGAGGAACATGGTCAATCTGAAGGAACTGCAGAGGTCCGCAGCTCAAATAAAAGAAGATTCCATCGACAAAACGACTTAGTCTTGTGCAGCGCTACACAAAATTAACTTGCACCCAACAGGATGCAAGTTGGGTAATCATGTTAGCATTAACAATGGTAAGATTGTTAATATATGGTAACCATGGTGCCGTTTCTTTGGTCTGTTTATGGTAATTTGTTTTTTTTCTTTAAAGTTGTTTGTTACTGTGTGACCTGATGTGTTTGCAAATTCTGCTGAAATTGTTCATGTTATGAGGGGAAAAAGTTATATGCTGTCATTGACAAATGTGTACAGTATGTATACCGTACGATAAACATCTTTAAAAAAAACTAAACATAAAAAATTCATTCACAGCAGAATGAAAAGGTGCTGTACTGAGCTAAAAGTTACATCCGGATATCCTGACACACCTTGAGCTGAGCTACGTCTTCTGTGTCAGATTGCGGCGCGTCTTTTAAAAGATCCAGCTGGGCCTGGAGTTCCCCCACAGTCTTCTGGGCCTGGAAGTTGAAGAGGCATCTCAGTGTGA